CGATAATTGAAATTTTACTTAAATTAATACTCATGATTAGTCAATCCAATTAATGTTTAATCAATATGACTAATCGTACTGTACGACTAACATAGACAAAATTTGATCATCCCAAAGATAGTACTAGACAAAACCTTAATTTTTGAACTAATCTCTAGTACGATATCAATTTTACTATACGACAAATACATATAATTTTCAATCGTCCTAAAGACCATCTCTTATGAACAATACACAATTGATCTAATCGTATCGGACGATCATTCGATCGTACTGTACGTGTGATCAATATACACAATTTGAACAGATCGTTAGAATAGTTGTTCCATCGTACTACACGAACCCCTATTTTGAATTAATTGTACTATACAATTCTAGATGTTACTATATAAAAAGTGACAGCTTAATTGAATAATTAGGGGATTTTAAAGCCTTGTACTTAAGTATTTCCAATTGGTATTTAGGAGACTTTTAGCTATTGAAGGAACTTTGAGGGAGAAGTTCTTGAGAGAGTTCTTGGGCTTTAGAAAATGAGAAGGTGAGGTTATGCATGAGGGAGGAGTTTGAGGGGATTTCACAAGGTTGCTCCAAAAAAAAAAAGCTTGCACATTATTTCATCTAGTGATCTTGATGACTTCTTGGAGTTGCACTTGGGAGAGAAGCTTCAACGTTCAGGGTCGTAGGGTCTCTGTCTTCATCAGAACGGTGAAAAAAGATTGAAGGCTCTCTAACATCACTAAAAGGGTGAGAAAGATTTCAAAGGTACATTACCATCATTAGGAGGGTGATAAACACTTCGAGGTTCATTGTCATCAACAAGAGGGTGACCTAGCTTTCAATTCTCCATCGCACTAATTTGGTGGAAATTATTTGTAAGGGTTTATCTGTCTTATTATGAGGACTAAATAAGAGTCACTATAGTGTTAGTACAATACCTAAAGAGGACTCCGGGGAGTGGATTTAGGCCGAGGTTGACTGAACTAATATAAAGTTTTGGTGTATTTTTTCTAATTTTTTTGCACTTTTATTTTTATTTTATTTTATTTTCCTGTAACACTTTTTGTTTTATTACAATTTTTGATTGAATTATAAATTTCAGTTTCTTGGATCTAATTTGTGTTAGAAAAAGAAAATAAAATAAAAAATATTTTTTATTACTTGCATTAAAAAAATTGAAAAAGAAAATCAAGATTTTTGTAATTACTTTCTCTTGCATATTGTAACTTGGTTATAATTTAAAAGAAAAAGATTTTCAAAGGGTAATTTTTAAAATAACAAATTCACCCCCTCTTGGTGTTCATTGGGATAGTTCAACAAGGTCTTACAACCTCCCCTGAACTTTCATATATGTCACAACATCTGGAGACTCACTGGCCTCTTGTCGCATCAAATTGTAACCACATGGCTGTACTAGGACCCAAGTAGCTAAACTACTTGCACCCCATAAACCCTAAAAGGCTGGTCTCGTAATATCAGACCAACATCCCAACTACCAGAAGCATCAAAGCATGGTAGAGGTGGTAGTACCCTCGGCCCACCTATGGCCGATTATGTAGAGCTTCTGAAATCCAAACATCTATCAAAATTACCATGTCGACACTCATCGATCTTATGTCCAAACTGACCACAACAAAAACACCTACTTGATGCTCTATAACATTGACCACTATGCCTTCTACCACACTGTTGACATAATGGGGCCTCACTCACTGAATCCGTAGAACTAGCAACACTACCTGTATCTGATCCAGAAGAAATTGTTATTGATAGTCCCCTCCTTCTGAACTCAACAAGTCCAAGCATGCTTTTTTTCCCATAATGGATATTACAAGTTGTCTCACCATCAAATCTCTTCCTTCTTGCAGTCTATCACTGTTATTAGATTCGTCTCTACCTTCTTAGCCCTCTTGACTAACTAAGAAAAGTCTATAATATAATGTGCTAATAGACACTGCCTCAAAGCATCTCGAAGTGCTAACTAACTATGGAGCATGCTTAAAGAGAGCAGTAAATTCTGTCTCATACTGCATCACTGACATACTTCATTGAATCAACTTCATAAAAGAGCTTTATAGTTATCTCCTAGTAGACAAAGATACAAACCATGTCTTGAATGTCTCAACAAACTCATTCCAAATAATCAGGGTATTTACATGACCCTGAAACTTCTCTCTACTGGCCTAACCACCAGTGTCATGCCTAACCAACTAATAAAAATGCAACTAATGCAAATCTCCTCTTAGGAAAATAATGCATCCAATCCAGATTTTTCTCTATCCTCATCAGCCGATCCTTAGTAGCTTTAGGCTCAATAAAACCAGAAAATTTAGGAGTCTTTAATATCATAAAATTATACAAATATCTATCCATATTATCAGAGTGGGTACCAATAACCCGTGTGTGAGCCAAGCCTACCGGTTGTGCTATTATATCTGCAATATGAGAAATCACCGTAGAACTGATCACAAGAGCTTTGCCCTAAATCTGAGCTGTCTGACTAAAGCTCTGACTATTGGTCATAATTCATATCCTGATTTGGATGAGATGGATCAATCATCTCAAAAATACTAAATATAGTTGAACGTAACACATGTATATAAAAATAAACAAAATGAGTGCCCAAAATATTAATAAGTATATCACTTTTACAATTAAATCCTATGACTCTATTATAATTCACTTCTTTAACCTAAGTTCTGATACCAAAAGCTTGCCACAATCGAACACAATATGACCTGTGTGATATCAGGTCAGGTTGTGACACCTCTGACCACCGTAGCTTGACTTTAATCCCATCGACCTCCGTTGCCTAACTGAAGACCTTCCAACCTTATTCACTTGCTGGCTATTGTCCCTCATATCTCTATCGCTCGATTATAATCATTCTAATATACGTCTCCCATCAACTATGGTCCCACCAACCACCGTTGCATGACTACGATTCCTTCGACCACAGTTGCTCGACTATGGTCCCTATGACCACCATCACTTGACTATAGTCTCTTTGACCTCTATCATCCGACTATGGTCCCTTCGACATCGGTCTTCAGATTATGATCCCTTTTATCACCATCACCCAACTATGGTCTTACCAAAAAAACAAACAGATCAACGTTCTCTTAAGAACAACTCTCATATCATTGGATTTTTCCATGTCCAACCATATAATGTTCTATATATGATGTGTAATCGCTATATTTTGCCAACGCCTTCTCCCGAGGAAGTTTATCTTTGTAATCAATGACAAAAATTAGTTGAATCATTTTAACTACCTAGGCTCCATGATTTTTTTCCTTTTTTGGGGGGTTTTCACATAAAAAAATTATGTCATTTTTTATAACTATTGCATCACTATCTTTTATCTATGTGTATGCTGGATCATCGTACAAAGCAAGGATGTAAAACCCTAATTTTGATTAAATAAAATCTAAATACTAATTAATTATTTATAAATTATATTTACATTAAAATATAATTTTTTTAATTTATCATTATCAAATTGCTAAACTATTTTTTCTCCATTTCCTCAACTCACTAAAATTAAATCCATCTCACCCTCTCTTTATGATATTTAAATATTATTAATTTCTTTCAAATAACAATTTATATAATTTAAACAATATAAAAGAAATGATCAAAGTGTAATTGAGTTGAAGTTGATGTAAAAATGATATATTACTTAAAAACTTTAATTATAAAATTAAGTTAAAAAAATAAAAGTAGGCAAAGTTGTCCATCAAATGGGCGACTTGCTAAGTTATGAGCCATTTCCTGATTTACAAACGACAAATTAAAAAAAAAATTATAGTTGCAAGTTGCCCCAGGTGACTTGCTATATTAAATTTAGAAAAAATAATTAAAAAATATAATAGGTAGAAATAACATTAAATAAATATATTTTAAAAAATAGTTTAAAAATAAAGATAGAGACAAAAAAAAAAAGTTAATGTAAAATATAATTTTTTATATTTTAATAGAAGTCAATAGTTTAAATATATGTGTATATGTTGATCAAAATTTGATTAAAATGAACCTTTTTTATTTTGATATTAAAATTTATTAAAATTTTAATCGATTTTTTTTTTCTAATGAATAAGCATTATACCAAAAAAAAAATTAAAGTGGTAGGAAAAAAAAAATAACAATTCAAAGTTTCTCCCTATACATTGGCTTGAAAGTTCTTATCACATTCACATATATTTTATCTATGTAAATGTTCAAACAATGTGTTTTGAAAGGGTGGCTAATGAATGATTCAAAGTAAGATATTATAAATCAATTTTTTATATAGTTCAAGATAATAATAATAATATTATTTTAATATTATATTAATATCAAATTAAATTGAATATAAAAAAATTTCATTGTAATCAAAGTTTGATCAATATATATGTATTTCAACTATTGACTTCTATTAAAATATATAAATTATATTTTACACAAACTCTATATTTTTTATTTTCTTCTCTATTTTTATTTTTAAATTATTTTTAAACATATATTTATTTAATGTACTTTCTAGCTATTTTATTTTAAATTATTTTTTTAATTTATTGTAATAAGTCACTTTTTTAATGGATAACTTGCAATAGTAACTTCTTTTGAAATAAGTCCATTAGTAGGGCCACTGGCACATAACTAAAAATGTGTTAGCAAGTCACTCATTTGATAGGCAATTTTGGCTACATTTATTTTTTAATACTTAATTACATAATTAAAATTTTGAATAATACATAATTTAAATATTAGTCCAAAAAAGTATGATTATAAGTAGATAATGAGATAATTCAAATGAACTCATTTTAAATAAAAAAAATAAATAATATTTCTAAATTCAATTGACTTATTCAAAATGAAATTAAAAGGAATTATAAGGAAGCATTAGTCTTTTACTTTTACACAATGGAGAAGTCAAGCATCTGCGGTTCTTCACCGGCCGGTCCCTACAACCGCTGGCGCAATACCTGGAAGGGCAAATTAACCCAGACGTACTCCCCCAAAAAAACCATTTATCCGAGGAGGGTTAGATATAAGAAGATGAATGCGGAGAGTGGAAGACCAAGGGAGGTGAAGAAAGCCATAGAAGTCTCCTAATTGAGTTGAGCGACATGGGGGTTTTGGCCGCTAAGAAGAGCGCCGTGACAGTCGCGCTGTTGGCAGCGGCGATATTGGCGATGCTGGCGGCAAATGTGGAGGCACAGGCAACACAGTTTACTTGCGCATCGAAGCTAATACCGTGCCGAAATTACCTGAACTCAACGAATCCTCCGGAGGAATGCTGCAAGCCGCTCAAGGATGCGGTGACGAACGAATTGACTTGTCTCTGCTATATATTCAAAAACCCCGAGATCTTGAAGGGTCTTGGTGTCGACATAAACCAGGCCATCAAACTCCCGTTCTACTGCGGAATCACCAATTCCTCAGACAGTCTCTGCAAGTCCACCGGTACGATTCCTGCCTCCGATTTCCAGATTTTTTATTTTTGCCTGAGTATCTTTGCCGTTGATGTTGGTGTAGTCTGTATTCAAATTCTCCTGTCTTGTTATGCAGCTGCAGATTCGCCTTCGGGGAATCCTGGTTCTCCAGGTAAGGAGTTTCATCCGATGTTTACTGGTAGTTTGATTTTAAATTACGTTAGTTTTTTTTTTTTTCTTGGTTTTGATCCAGTTGGGGAAACTTTCAATTCAATAATTAAACAACCAAATACTCTTTTTCAGATTTGCTAAGTTCAGGCAACATTAGGGCTGATGATTGTCCAAACCTGAAAATTTTGCAATAATCGATGCACTTTTAATCAAATCGGAACTGAAATTGCTCTGTCATGAAGACGGCTCTCTTGAAATTAGTTTGACTCAGTTAAATTTTTTTATATATATAATATATGATGTACGATCTATTAGTCTCCTTAGTAATTTTATTGCTCGCTTTTTCATGGATTTTTCTTTGCCCTAGTATGATGAAAAATTATGTTAACTAATATTAAAGGTAAGTTTGTATCTAATTTAATTAGGAATGAATTTTTTAACTATTGAATTTGTTTTGAATTGAATATAATATAAAAATTGATTGCATAATCACATATTTCATTCACTTAAAATAAATCATTAATTAGGCAAAAATCCTGATTAAATTTAAGTAATGACCCAAAATTTCTCCATTTAATAATTTTAGTTTTAATTGAATGGCTGTATTTGTTGTATTATACAAGAAACAAAGAAATATATTTGTATTTTATTTCAGAATTAACTAAAATAAAACGTTGATTTACCAATATATTTGTCTACGGAAAGACCACAAATACTGAAAGCAATGGCTGAAGTTAAAGATAAATAAGAATTGAAACTAATTTATCATACATTGTCGTTTGGTATGAAAACATATGTGAGGAAGGAGTCATTTTATTTTTCCCTTTAGGAGGTGTTGGATGGAAATGCATTAATTTTTCTACTTTGGTGGGCATAATATTAGTGGTAGAATGAAATGGTCATCGTAGGTAACCCTTGCCATCCATAAGTTTGGATAAATTCTATTATATAAATATATATATTATGAAATTTTGCTCATAAATTTATTGTAACCATGTAAAATCCTCCGTAAGTATAAAATCTTTTTGCTACTTTTACTAAAATTGTAGTTCAAGTATTACTTAAGAGTGGATAGAAGATTCACATCGCCTTTTTAAGTTAAAATATTACTTGATTCAAAATGTCACTCAATCGATGTTATTTTGGTCATATGGTAGATTGAAGAGCGAAAAAGTTAAATCACCTTTAAAGATAACTATACCCATGATGATAATGGATGGATCAATAGAGCAACTCTATACTTACATTAGTCTTGTTAGAAATCTAAATCGGATGATCGAATCTATATTGATGGCTTTAAGATTGGTGTAAATGGTGATATGAACTGTATAGTTTGATTTAGGCAATAACCCTAGAATTAGTATTCGTGAGATATGCTTTATTAATGTTAGTTGGGCAATTGACACAAATCTTGATGTAATTAAATGATGGTTAGAAGGTCCATTGTTTTCTCTTACCCCTATTGCATGAAGATAAGCATAACTGATGATTTAAGTCAAGTTCAATCTCAAATCTGATATTTATCAACGAATGCCATCAAACTACTCGCATCAAATGATTCTCGTAATGCAAAATCAAATTATGCTAGAAATTAACAGTAAGCTACAAAATTTAAGTTTTCTTTACTTCCATTATTCTTAATTATTCTCATCACTTTCCCATTATGAATAATGGGCCAAAATCTATTATTTCTTATGACACATTAGGACTCATTTGGTTGGGTGAAGTTGTTAGAAAATTGGTAAAGCTTAAAATTTGAAGGTGGTGGGAATGAATGATGAATGAGTTTACAAGCGAAAGGGATTTATTCTCAAATTCTTGACATGGATTCAAATGAGGAGTGTCTCCTCTTTAATAGGCTCCAAGGCTTCTTTCTCCAAAGGCGATATCTTTCTCTAATTCTCTAGTAACTGTGCATAATTATTCATAGTACTCTAGAAAGTCCTACATGAAACTAATGATACAACTCTAGAACAGTTTGCACATTTAGTTTCTTGCTGCATCTCTCACCATTGTTATTTATTTTTTATCAAAAGGAAGAAGTTGAAGTGCTCGAGGATCAATCAAATTACTTTTCATTTTTCCCGTTTTTTTTTTCTTTTTGTGAAATGGATCTTTGTCTTTCGTTTTATCAAGTGTCTGGACTTCTCAATCTTTAAGCTCTTTCATTATTGAATCTGTTTATAGGTATTTTAAAAAACAAAGTTATTTGGAGCTCTGCCCATGCTTAAGCATTTGCTTATAAGAAAAATCAACCCACTGTATATGGCTCTTGGGATATGAATTTGACTTGAAGATTGAAAATCATTTAGAAATAAGATTATGGCTTCGTTTGGAACGGCATTCTTATCATTTCTTAAAACATATTTTTATTATAAATATTTTAGTTTTTTTATTGAAAAGTTTTTTTAAGAAGCAGTGAGAAAGTAATCCCAAAAGAAGCCTATATGTTTGCTTGGTTCGGAATTGGCTGAAATCTACAAGCCAACAAACCTCAATGACTTTGATAATACCTTCGTAATGCCACTGGTTTTTTCTGATCTAATGTGGTCAATAGAGTTTGGAGCACTGGAATTTATGATTTTTTTGTATTTCGTAGGTACTCCAGCCACACCTGGAAATGGCAGCAATGGTGCAAACGGGTCAAAGCAGGTCGGTTTGCTGGGTATGTCGGGTCTGTTTTTAATATGGTGGTCCATTTTGGCATAGGAGGATCTTAACGTGAAAGCAATTTGTTGCAGCCATTTTCTCGCTTCTTTGCTCGATTGTTTTACTCTTTATATGAGAATTGTGTTTCTTTGTGTCCCTTTTAGAGACATTGATCGATTAGTGAGCTATTTGATCATTTACTGATTAAATATAGGGCTGTTACAATTGTTATGCCCAGATAACTAAACTAGCCAACCCTCAATGTTTAGATTTTGAAATTTGCTTTGTATCCTTTGCTTCCAATAGTCTACGCAAGCTTTTTTCAATAAGAGAGGCATGCTAAAAATATAAAATTAATGGACCACGAGCTTTCTCAAAAAATTTCCTGATTAAGGCATTGATGAACATTATTTGATTGCTAAGTTTAACAGCATTGGTAAACAAATATTTTATATGGGTGAATGGCCAATCATTAATGTTTGGAATTGAGCATTAATCTATGAATGTTAGTTATTGAACAAAAGGAGATGAATAACATATTCAGTAGGACATCAACTTATAGGTCAAATTTAGGACTAATAAAAAATATGATAAAATTTCTTAATATCTTACCGTGAAATGTTCTTTCCTTTATCAAAAAGAAATTCAGCGACTTACAAGGTGTAATAGCTCCAAGAAGCTTCAATCTCCAAATTTTTTCAAATTCAAACTGCACGCAAATCAAAGTGTCTCGTCACATGACGCAGACGAATTTGAGCTTCTCAAGATGAATAGAGTATAGGGAGCATTATTGTTAACCCAGAGGACGAGGTCAATTGATTGGGTGCCTTTTAAGCTCGTTACTCGTTCAGACTGTACGCCTAAGTTGGGTCGATCAGGCACCTTATACGAGGTCGAATCGGTCCAAGGCCTTGTTTAATTAGTTTAGGGTTTATACATGCTTGGATTCATACAGTTTTTGTCTCGTTGGATGCATACTGTTGCATCCAATTTTATTCATGGGGGATGTCTGACCTTACAGCACGTTGAAATTGGGACTAGATAAGTGACCCAAAAACTTATGAGAGAGAGAGAGAGAGAGAGAGAGAGACCTTTGAACAACTCGTTTTTTGGCGGGAATTTGCCTCCGACCGGACGTTCCTCTACATCCGGTCGGAGGACGTAATAATTGTTCCTTTGATTGGGTGGGTTGGAGAATATGAGTATTAAAATTGGTAAGGGCATCTCCTATTGGAAGGTCTTAAAAAGTCCTAAATTTTTTTTTTTAATATTCCTCATCATCCTTTATTTATAGAGCTTTGAGGGTTAATAAAACTAAGCGAGCTCTATGATGAACGCATGTGCAATACTACACACTACCCTAACATATGTCGCTTCTTGATTGATTGAAGGAGGGTAAGGTCGGAAGGTTTCAATGTGTCATCTCTAAGGGAGCTCTATGATGCCGAGTAGATGAGGGCGAGTGTGCCCGAGCAAGTTTGCAGGCCAATACTGAGATAAAAAGGTGGTCAATGAATGGTGAGTTGGTTGACATGGCCAACCACTTGTGTGAAACCTCTAGGATGATCTTGATGAGAGTAGGGATAGTGAGATGCTATAGCGGGAAGGGAGAATTTAACCTGAGTTGGTAACATTTTTTATAATGTAGAAGTCTTCTATATTACGAACAGAAAATCTTAGCATTTATTTATCTATTTTATTTGTAACATTTAATGAATTAGATAAGTGTATTCATGATATGTCAATTCAATATCAGCATTTACTAAATAGTTATAGTTGGTGGGCACTTAGGATTCCTCTGCAAAAAAAATTATTCATAGCATAAGATCCTTTTCATCTTGTCTTCTTCTTCATTAATATGATGATGTAGTTTACAACAACCTATCATATAGATTACTTGTGAAGATGTAATGTCCAATTAAGCAAAATTGTATTGTCTAGATGCATGTGAAGGTGAGATATCTTTAACCTCTGCTTTTAAGTGGTGCATGTACATATGAAGTTGAGATGTGTAGGATTTACTTGCCGCCTTTAAAATGAATTGACCATGTATGGAGGCATACCCAACAAAGAAAGTTTTGATAGTGTAAGTAGAAGAATGTATGCTTGTATGACATGGGTCGTTAATAGTCCATTGGAGCAAAAGACAAATGCAAATGAGATTTTTAGGTGTTGCATCCATTCATGGTTAGAAGATGAGGATTATGTACTTTGGCATATGCATGCTGAAATAATGAAGATAAAAATCTACAAGACGGGAGATTTTCTAAATCCTGTCGGTTGGAAATATCTAAAAATGAGTTTCCTGGAACATGATCATCATCATGTTAGTTCTCATTTTTTACAGTTGTGATATCATGAGATACGACATGAGAAAGAAGCCGTCCATTCGGGTGATGCTACTTGCAACAACCTAGACCTTGATGATGTAATTTTATATTTTCCTTGGTATTCTCGTATGGATGATTTCACTTTGAAATTCTATAAGAATCGGATGAATGAATTATTATCTGAAGGCAAGCCAATGAAGATTTTCAAAGTTGAGAACTAGCAATACCTTCAGTATGAGTTTGAGTTTAACTTCAAGTGCTTCCTAACTCAAACCAAACTCCATGCATATGCTGGTTAGGAAATAGTAAAGCTATGTATTAGTATCTATGTTTGTTTGAGTTGTGCTTTCTTCCCCATGCTTATTAAAATTTGTATCTAATATGTTAATGCAGTTTATTTTGTTATGTAGTTGTGTCTTGTGAGAAGTTATAAGTTATCTTTTTTATGTAATCTACATGCAGCGATCTCTGCACCGTTCCCTAGCTCAACAACTTGATCAACGACCAATTATAGGAGTTGGCATTCTCCCTGTGCCTGCCACTGTGTGGTTCTAGAATGTCGAAGTTGCATATGTAGTAGTCTTTATAGTGTGTATATTCATAAAAAAGTATTATTTCGCACAAAAAATTTGAAAAAATTAAGATTTCTTTGGAATTGTAACTAAGTGAGGATACATACCACCAATCACTTTTCAGGAGATCTTGGGAAAAGAGTTTCTAGCATCAATTTTTTAGGCTTAAATAAGTAAATGGATGCCCAGGACCTGTACCGTCATAGGTATGTTCCAAACTCCGGATTACCATTTTTCCTTTTGGTGGAATCACTGGAACAAGATATGCAAGTATGTTGTTCCACAGCTTGATGTACACCTGATATTGAACTGTCTAGTTTATGTCGACCCACCCTCAACCATCTATCCTTTTATACTCTCTCTCCATAGGCTCCAAATCCCTTGTCTCTCACCCAAATTCCTATGTTTCCAGCTGATGATCGGGACACGTGCTATCCATACCTCCCTATACAAACGACATTTCTCTGGTAGGGAGGTAAGAATTGTGTTAGTGTATTGAGTCATCTTCACCTCAAACATAAGAATGTGCTCATCAGTTTAATTTTTAAAAGTCAGTTTCAAGTTAAACTTAGTATAATGAACCTGGAAAAGCTGCAAACCATCATGGCCATCCTTGCATTTCATTGTGTTGCCCTTAGTGATCTTTCGTACTTGATCCTAACCCCACCTACGAAAAAAAGTATTAGTTAATCAATGGAAAATCATCATTGGAGTCTCTATAATAAGTCCATCTAAGCCATCGAAGAGGTACCATATAATCCACTTGACCACTATCCATCATGAAGCTGGCCTGTACATTAGCATCTCAAGGAGCATGGTACACAGTATCACGTGCACAGTGACTACCGAGTAGCTCATCACAACAATCAAGCCAACTCTGCCAGGATAACCCTTATCCAATCACAATAGGGCCAACAACAGTCGGACATACAACTCTGAGCCCAAGAAGGACTTGAACATCCTGTAGTGTAACAGTCATATTCCCATGTGGACCTCCGAAAGAGCACCGCGCAAACGGGCCAATTGGAAGAGACAGATTGGATCGTGCATACGACTAAACATTAAGGATAGCAGCTCTCGCTAGCGCACCCCGATGGGTAGTAATATACACGACCTGATCACAGTCACGGGTTTTCCCCACCTGATACAATGGCTCGAGTGGGATTTAGTAGATGTGGGGCCAAGTTTCCCATGGGCGCAAGCCCATGTGGTGAATTATATCCCAGGCCAGAGCCCTAGAAAACTCTCGATTAATGATCATATATTATCCCTCCCAAAGTGGGATTGACACAAGGGTGTAGACTAAGAAGTCCTACTCAAAGGGAAGAAATGTCAGAAGGGCTAAATCAACATGCGTGGTTCACACCAGCGTTCAGAGGCTCTAGAGTGCTAAAAGGAAATTGGAGAAAATAAAAGTCAGGCAATTGACACATACGTGAGAGAAAAGATGGAGGTGGCGTCATCCTATGACGTAGATAAGTAGGATTTATGGTCCCTGAAAGGAAGGGACCTACCCACTATTTAGGAATACTACGAGACCGAATGTAGTAGCCTCGAATTCTAGATCTAGGTTGGGTTTAATGTTCTACACACACTAAGATCCATGTCCTAACTAATGCAGTGGAAAACTTGGACTTACCCCAGCCTGGATTGGGGAGCCAGCTAATTACCTAATCATTTTAAAACTATGTTATCAAGCCAGTTATGAGAGATGGGTGGGTGGTACATTTCTTTTAGAAATAGGATCGGTATCTAGAGAGTTTTCTAATTTGTCATACACTTATGTAGGTCGAATGCTCCTAACTAATGCAATTAAATTTTAATTAGTTGGTTACTAATGCAATGCATACTGGTTAAAGATGCTAAATCAAATATGCATCAAATTTTAAAAACAAGCTTAATATAAAATAAATTTTAGAAAAGACTGGGCCTCCCTAGGTCCGGCACTTCATCCTCATAGGCCAGATTATCCGGACTACACCCGCAGGTAGAGATGTGTCTTATAGCAAGAGAAAGAGGAATGCATTAATATGCATGCGTCCCCAGATGATTCCGGCAATTTCCTAAATTCATTAAGTTTCTAAATTATTTAAATTCTAAAATATTAAATGTTAGTTATGAGTAGAAAAAGTTTTGATGGTCCTTAGAGAGCCTAACGAATATCCAGGCTAAAATAAAATCGACAAGCAAGAAAGAAACCTAGAAAAATCAGACAATTTCTACTGCGCAAGCAAAGTAAACACATCAATATAAATAAACCAATCAAGTAAATGTCCATAGGCCAACCGTCCTTTAATTACAACTTAGGGTATGCAGAAAGTAAAGTGACCGGGTACCACTAACAACAACCCAGATTTCTAAGCCTATGACAGACGCAAATGACTTTGAGTGGGATATTAGTTCTTGAAGTCTTCAACTCTTCAGTCT